TTTTTTTTTTTTTTTTTTTTTAATTCCCTATTTATTTTCCACCCCTAGGGTTTAGAGGATAATATTTGACGCCTTTATTTGATTACTCCCGCGACGCGTCTCCGCGGAGCGCGGTTTACCGAGGCGGCGGCGATGCCCGGCGGCGCTCCCCGCGAAGCGAAGCCGCAGCACGGGGCAGAGAGGCCAACCCCGCTCCCGCCGCCGCGCACACCTCGCCGGCACAGGGAGCGGGACGAGMGAGCCGGGACGAAGCCGGGCTTTCCCCGGAGTGCCCCTTCTCGGCACTGGGCAAGCAGGAGAGATGCTCGCAGCCGTGCCCACAGCCGCCCCTCTCAAACAGCCCCCCTGGCCCGAAACAGAACGGCTTCAACCCACGCGTATTTTTTCCCCTCTTGCAGACAATGCACCTCTTTTCCCCGACACCGTGGTRGTCCGGGGTTCCCCGCGCGAAACCTTTGTCGCCGGCGAAAACCCGAAATCCCCCTCCGGCGCCGCGCTCCCCGCCGTCCCCGCCGCCCCTCCGCGCCCCTACCTGAGAGGTCGTCGCGGGGGCTCTGGTGCAGGTATCCCTGTTCCAGGGAGTAGGAGGGCACGCTGGAGTGGATGCCGGAGGAGGYGGCGTTGGCGGCGGGGAGGCCCTGCTGCTTTATGTAGGGCGAGGCCCCCGAGGCTGTCCAGTGAGCCGAAGGGCTCGTGTAGGGCGAGTGGCACTCGATGGCGCTCGCCATGGCCGGCGAGGAGGGCACGGGGCTGCTGCTGCTGTCGGGGCCGTAGTCCCCGTTGGCAGTCACCGGGCAGCTGGCCATGTAGGTCGAGCCGGGGTTGGGAGACATGTGTGGGACGTGGTGGCCGCCGCTGAGTCCCTCGTAGCCGCTGGCCATGGCGTTGGGCATCATGTCGAGGTTGTAGCCGTTGGAGTGGCAGGCGAGGGAGGCGGGGGGCGCCTGGAAGTCGAAGCCCTGCGGGAGGATGGAGGCGCCGAAGCCCAGCCCGTTCATCATGCGGTACATGGGCTTCAGAGCCTGGCATTTCCTCCTGAAGCCGCGGGGTCGCCGTCGGAAGGAGCCCTCCTCGAACATGAACTCGCTGGCCGGGTCGATKGTCCAGTAGTGGCCCTTGCCCGGGCGGCCCAGGCCCTTGGGCAGCTTGATGAAGCACTCGTTGAGGGAGAGGTTGTGGCGCACGGAGTTCTTCCAGCCCTGATAGGAGCCTCGGAAGAAGGGGAAGCGGGCCTGCAGGAACTGGTAGATCTCGCTGAGGGTCAGGCGCTTGGAGGGCGAGCTCTGGATGGCCATGACGATGAGGGCGATGTAGGAATAAGGGGGCTTCTCGGGCCGCCGCAGCCCCGAGCTGGCCTTCTTGCTCTTGGAGGACGCCGCCGCCGCCGAGGAGGAGGAGGAGGAGGTGGAGGTGGAGGAAGAGGAGGTGGAGGTCTCCAGGGCGGAGGAGGGCGGCCGGCTCATCTGGAGAGCTCCGGGAGCCGGGCTGCAGGAGCGGAGAGGGACGGGGGGCTCCAGCCGCTGCTGCCCGCTCTCGGTGGTCATCTGGCGGAGGGAGGGGAATGGGGCAGG